CGGTTTCCGCCAGTTTCGGCTTAAGTCAAGGTCAAAGGACGAATGTTTTTCTCTTAGGGATTCTTGGAATTGAACAAAGGATTTTTTCTGCATTCATCGGGTCACGATTTTTGAGAGAAAATAATTGAGTAATTTTAATTGTGATTGATTGAAAGTGAAGTTTTTCCACGATCACTTTAATATGATTTTTTTTTTATTTTGGAGTTATTTTAGTGATAACAATGATTTTAGGGAGGAAGAGATTGTTAATAAAAGGAACTGCTGACCCTATTGCTAGCAATGTACCCTGTTATGTTGACCTCGCGGTTTCTCTTGGAAACCATCGTGATTAATTATTATTCTAATGGGTGATAATGGAATGGTAACCCCGCCCGCGCTGTCCATATACACTGGCGGGGCACCAGTGAGAGATGATAGGCGAGGAAGCAGGTCAGTTAGCTTATTGTGACAAATTCAACAAGAATTGTCCACGATGGTTTCCAGGGGGAACCGCGTGGCGGTCGACCTAGTAGAGTGTATTGCTAGCAATGGGTTCATTAGACCTCATTAGTAACAATCCGTTTCCCCCTATTACGATGGGTTAACGCAAGATGAACAAAGCTGATCACCTTTCATCTTCACCTATTTGATTCATTAACTCATGGTGACGAATTCCAAAGAGCTAAGTACGACGGTGTCCAATGGGAATCACGTGATTGTCGACTACATAGAATATATTAGTAATAGGACTATTAGTTCCCCATTACTAACAATCCCATCCTTCATACAGACTGGGCTACCATTTTATTTATTTAAATAAAATTGGCTACAATAATTGACGAAATAAACGTGGGCAAGAGTAATATCGTAGTTGGATGAAATAGGTTTTTTTATTGTTTCTTCTATAAAAGTCGCATTTTAAATCCATTTTTACTTTTGCCAGATGTAATTTCTTGTTTTTACCCAATCATAAAATTACAAATTTGTGTAGATTTTCACTACGTTTTGCGACGTAACCATAAAAAGAACGCCGAAAATAAAACGTCACTCCTTACCATTCAAGTATTTTAAGCGTACTTTTTGTTTTGCTACATTCATTGGTATATTTCATTGTATTTATAACCGTTGTACAATTAGAAATACTAAAACTTTAAAAGAAAATTACTCAAATTTCTTCAACCCCATTTCACTTTGCTTCAAATATTTTTCCAAGTATTTCATTCCTCCAAAATCTCGCCAACAGAAAATTTTTACCCAAAAATTGTGAAAAAACTACCCAATAGGGCAACACTGCTTTCACCTTTTAACACGTCACATTCGTCTTCTTTCTTACAAAGGGATATAGGGATAAGGATAGACTTTCACGTATACTTCTCTCATTAAATTCTTACATAAAAAATGTCAGTTTGAAAACCATCTCCTTTTCAAAATAGCCAAAAATTAAAATGTAAATATCCAACAAAAATAAACATAACACCTACGCAATATCGATTAGGCCACCAACGGATCTTAATGAACATTCGAAAGATTCACTTTACTTCATGTTTAATTAATGTTTCTAATTAAAATTATACCCATAGTATCTTTATCGAACTAGCTTTAGAATTTTAGAAGTAGGTAACCATTTTTTAAGGCGGATAAGTTTAAAATAAAAACCAGATTTTAAGTAAACTTTTTTTTTGGACTTTTGGAATGAAATTGTGAAAATAGCATCTAATTTGATGCAACAGTTTTTGAGTGATACCGGAACAAACATACAGACAGATGTCAATTATAAAAAATATCGGTCAGGCCTCTGTCGGAAAATTACACTTATATGCATTTATAAGAAAAATACAACAAACCTTAAATTCACATCCACGAGCATAGATACGTTTTAATTTAAGTTTCAATAAATAAATAGACCTTTGAACTGTAACAGAGGGAGACTTTGTACAAAAGTCGTTTGCTTGGGTACCTCTGTCCCATTCGTGTTTCAACCGTATAGCAGTTGTGTTTGCATGGCTGTGTTTCGGTTTGAAGGGTGGGATATGTGAATTTACAGGGTACAGAGGAATAACATCTGAGTCCTCAGGAATGGCAACGCACGGGGGTATAATGGGCGTAACAGTATACTCTGTTATGTCCAAGGTACTGCTCATGTTTATAGGCGACGGTTACCACTTTCCATCAGGTGAGCTCTCAGCTTGTTTGCCATTCTAAGTTGTATAAAAAAAACAGATAAGATCTTTTTATTTTTTTTTTCTGACCGCTATTTCGCTAGTAATGCATTTCGACAATGCAAAACGTCTCAATTCAAAATCAATGTATTGGTATTTATTTCACGAGTAACCCCACTCGTCTTTACTTGAAAACATTTAATACGCCAATGGTTGCATAGAATTAATTTCCAGTTTTGTCAATACAACTTCAGTGCCGACTTTTAAATGACTTGGTGATTACTTGCTCTGTGCAGACCATTTTTAATATTGTATAAAAAAAAAACCATTCTAATGAAGCCGTTGAGCTGTGACGGTGACACCAAAAATGACTTAATAACTTTTGTGGTTAAAAGTTTCTTAATCGCAACGTGATTTCTAATAAAATAAATCATTTGACTTTCCAATATTTCAGAAGAAGCCGTCGAGAGGAAACTTTATTAAATGAAAACCTTTGATAGATACATTTTTAGGGTTCCGCATGTTTTTTTAATTGAATTATTCACTCATTATAGGACAAATTGCACGTCTATTTAAATATATAGCTGTCCATGTGGTCCCGGCATAGAATAGGCGGATATGGCGTTACTGGGTACAGAGGAATAATACCTGAGTCGTCAGGAATGTCAACGCGACGGGTATCATGGGCGAAACAGTATACTCTGTTATGTCCATGGTACTGCTCATGTCTATAGGCGACGGTTACCACTTTCCATCAGGTGGGCCGTCAGCTTGTTTGCTATTCTAAGTAGTAAAAAAAAGGCCACTCTTTTTTCTGTGGGCGTCGTAAGAGACGACTAAGGGAATTCAATGATAGAGGGTACCTCTTAAAACATCTCTAAAAGCCTAACTGCGGTTGCCAACCCGCTTGCCAAAAGTGGCAACAACTGGCAGAACTCCCCTTATGAGGAAGGCTTATGTTCAGCAGTGGACAGTAACGGCTGAAATGATGACTTAACTGTTTAAATCATTACAACTTGCATTTTTTTATAAATTTATTTATATTAATTAAATTTTAAACTTTCGCATTGTTGACACATATTTTAAATACACTATCGGAACTTAATACGACGCGATTTACCTGCAATAATACCTATATAGGTTAATAATTTTTTTTTCCCTACTTTTCTCAATGTCCTCTACCCAAAGGTGGTCTGGAAGAGATTGCTTAGCGATATGGTCGCCTTTTGTATCATTTCTTATTACAGTTGAATGTATTTACTATTTTATAAATGGTGCAATAAAGTGTAAATAAATAAATAAAAATAAAATCTAATTTTTATTGCCGACGTTTTATTTACTTCGTTGAATAACAACTACCGTGACTCGAGGGGAAAGGGATTGTTAGCAATGGAGTTTTGCTAGCAATTTGCCAGCAATATGCCCTATTAGGTCCGACATCCACGCGGTTCCTCCTGGAAATCATAGTGAACAATTCTTGACGAATTCGTCACGATAGGCTAACTGACCTGCTTCATCCTCACCTATCATCCTTCACTGGTGCCCTGCCGGTGTATACCGATAGCGCGGGCGGGGTTACTATTCTATTATCACCCATTAAAAATAAAAAAAAAAAATAAAACCACCGTGACTTGTATTGTAATTATTTATGTCTCTTTATTCAGGTTTTTAAACTCGGGAATGCCCGACTAGTTTTGAATTCAATAGAAGCCCTATTCATACGCGCGGTTCACGGCTGTGTTGCCAGTAGCATCCCCGAATTGAAAAACTTGAGTAAAGCTGACATTAATAATTACAACATTATTTATATTATCAAAATACTTAAGTAGATTTTGCTCCGCAAAAAAGCAATACAATGAACTTGCATAAACGCACAAGAAGCTTATTTTAAGCCGATTTGGTATTATATAATTATATATGTATATTATAGATACTATGTATCTAATGTAAGTAGGTATACGTGATAATTATTAATTCACATTTTAATCTGATATTTAGCACATTTAATAATAATTAACTTAAATATGAATTCACATTTAAACATTCTGGGTGTACCTTATTAAATAATAGAAAAAAAAAATTTCAAAGTATGTGAATAATTTAAACTTAACGGTCGAGGGATGGGTAGCAGCGTCTCTCCTAAAATGTTACCAAAGCCTAACTGGTTGCCTACCTGCCTGCTAAATGTGGTAATTACTACTGGCAAAACATCTCAATAGCGGGAGGTCTATGTCTAATAATGGACAGTTAATGGCTGATATGATGATGACGATGATGATGATGCATAATTAAAAAATAATCAATAAGAAGAAAACTCTACATTTTTCTCAAACAATGTATATAAATAATCTACTTTTATTATAAAGTCCGTTATGCAATAGTGACTTTTAACTAATTACAAGTATTATTTGCTAAATCGAAACGTACGTAAGATAATGAATTTGATAAAACAAAACGCAACAGACAATAGACAGGCAACCGTTTCAAATGTAGCCAAGTGAATATTTTTTTCATAATTCTGAGTAAAAATTTATCATTTTGAAGATTTTTTTTGATAAATGTTCCGAGGAAAAATGAATCACAAATATCGTCATATTCGTAGAATATTGACGGATCTGACAAAGATTACATACATATATCCGTCAGTATTCTATGACTATGACGATATTTGTATAATGTTATTGTGGCCTGTATTTTTTTTATATTAGATTACCCTGAAAAAAGCTTATGCTGATCTATTGTGATTTTTTGTTTGGTAATACAAATTGTGGTGTTTACGTATAAAATTACATGTTTCGGGAGAAATAAAAGAATATATCTGGTAACCCTGAAACTTACGTTTCTGTCAAATAGATAATGACAACCACAGTGTTGGTACCAAACAACAAATTCATATTTACTGACAATAATAAAAATAAACTAAGCTAAAACTATGGAAAATTATGAGACTGCATATAAATATATTTGTCGAGTGTGTCTGTCGTACAGAGATGGCGAAAAATTTGTGTCTCTCATTGACAATTCCTGTGATAATGGCTTAACTTGTTATGGCAAAGCTGTACTAAATTTCGCTAATATTTCATTAAAACATAACTATAATTTACCCAATGTTATGTGTCAAAACTGTTTATTATTACTGAAACATGCTATTTATTTCAAATTAAAGTGTGAATCCAGTGAAAAACGTCTTCTACAATTAACGAAGAAAACTGCCAACAAAGATTTATGTGAAGAAAATTTAAAAGAAATTATTGTACAATACGCGATGTATACCCAATATTTTCCTTCTGAGAACACAGAAGAGTCATCTAGCACTTATATTGGGGAAAATATTGAAGAGGAATTTGAAGTTGGCCCCTATCTTGAGACAAATGACTATTGTAGTTTAAGTGATGGTGATAAAGGCACGAGCAGGGACAGCGACGATGATTTATTGGATGAATTAGAAGAAATGTCTGATAAATTTACCATTTTACATAAACAATATGTCAAAAGACCATTAAAAAGTAAAAATTTGTTGAGACGAAATAAAATGAAGATTAATAAATTGAAAAAACTGCAACTCGTTCGGAGACGTTTGCAAGAGAGAAGAAGAATGGATCAGAAAGTTCCGAGAACTACAGAAAAGTTAGTTTGTAAGATCTGTCAAAAGATATTAGCAAATCCACATACGTACAATCATCATATGCAACGGCACAACGGATGTAGATATATATGTGAGCATTGTGGAAAAGGTTTTCCTGTACTACTCGAGTTACAAATGCACCAGGTCGCTCGGCATGGTACTGGACCGTACCTGCAATGTCAACATTGCACATATAAGGCACCGAGAAAAATAAATTTGATTGAACATGAAAGATTGCACACTGGTGAACGACCGTACACATGTGATAAATGCGGTCTCACATTCCGTAGACGTGCGATCTGGCGGAAACATATGGTCTACCACACCGAGAAATCAGTACAATGCCCGCAGTGTCCTAAAAAGTTTTTTCGTCGCAGTGAAATGTTGGCACATGCAAACAACATGCACGAGAGGATATATATGTATTTATGTCATAAATGTGATGCGACTTATGCTAAGCCTGCAACAGTGAGACGTCATTTGACCGAGCGACATGGTATACCGAGGGAAATGCAGGGAAAGATAGTACGAATTAATAAAGGTAGAAACACTCGTTTTCCTGAACAATAATGTGAAGAATTACCTGATTACAATTATGTATATATATTTTATAATAAATAATCATTTAAACTTTTTTTTTTAATATTTATTTTATTTAGTGAGTGACTACAAATCCCTATTAGGTATATTTTTCATACAATTTGGAATGGCGGATAAGCTGATGTTCCACTGTGATGGAAAGTGATAATCATCTGTGAACATGAACAGTAACATAAATATCACAGTTTGACGTCCACACTATATGTTGCCATTTTTAAGGACTAAGGTTTAGTATTCTCATAGTCCTAATTTTTTTTTTATTTATTAAGGACTACAAACAGGTTCAGAATAAGTGTTTTAATGGATGACAATGAAATGGTAACCCAGCCTGCGTTATCCTTGTACTCTGGCGGAACATCTGCAAGGTATGATAGGTGATGAAAACAGGTCTAGTTAGACCATTAAATAAAGACATCTTTATGTAGTTTAAATTGTTATTCCATGGCAGTCAGAATATATAACAAACTGCCAACAAATCTTAAAAATTTAAATTATAATAAATTTAAAAAAAGAACTACATAAACAAATAAATAAGTGTTACTATAGTGTCCAGGTATATTATCTGTTATCTGTCTACATCTAAGAAGTGAAATCACACCTTTTAACCAATAGTACATGATAATTCTATGCACTTATGTATATATATTTATCTATTTACGTATTTATTTATATATTTATTCACAATTTGTGTTTGTTGTATTTACATTATTTTCACCGGTACCTTTCCTGCACTGGATTACCCAAATTAAATTATTTTCTCTCTAACTACACTGGGTTGGCTCGAAGAGATCTCTTTCAGAGATAAGCCCTCCCTTGCTGACAAGTTGTTAAACTAATCGTCACATGTATTGTTTAGGTGCAATAAAGAATATATATATATATATATATATATATCCCCATTGACTTTTAAAAATTTGGTATAAACATACTATTTGGTATAGAGCAAGGGCATGGGCTACTTTTTATCTCTTAAAATCAATATTCTAATCACGCGGACGATGCCGCAGCTTTTTTTTTTTATACAACTTAGAATGGCAAATAAGCTGACGGCCCACCTGATGGAAAGTGGTAACCGTCGCCTATAAACATAAGCAGTACAATGGACATAACAGAATATACTGTTTCGCCCATGATACCCCCCCATGCATTGCCATTCCTGAGGACTCAGGTGTTATTCCTCTGTACCCAGTAAATTCAAAATCTAGTATGATGATATAAAAAAGTAAGTCATACGACGAGACATTGTTTTTGTATTTTTCAACAATCTTGTTACAGTCATCATGATCCTACAAAGTTGTTTTATAGAATACCACATTAGCAATTAGGGTTGTACCATAAATAAAAAAAAAAAATATTAATTTTTTTTTACGGTTGAACATTGACATACAAATAAAAATGGATGGAAAAATAAAATTATCGAATATAGGCTTAATTTTGATCATTGAAAGGTTTAATTTTGTTCATCCCCCTATTAGAGGAAACATTAAAAGTCTTGGGCATTATCATCATCCTCTTCATTTCTGCCGCTATCTGTCCACTGCTCAACATAAGTCACCATAGATTACCATAAGGAACGGGGGCATTCCTTATGGCAGTTTACCATTGGGGGATTTTGCCTGTAGCTACCATGCTTGGCAGGTGGATTGGCAACTGCAGTTTTGCTTTCGGTGATATTTTTAAAGGAAAATCCCTCTCTCTCTCTATGATAATTTTATAAACTTACTCATATTTATCGTTTCCAAAAGTTGTTTCGACTTCATCCGAAAATGTATTATTTGAAGTCTGTTGTAAACAATAATACTACTAAATCAGAGGGAGACTTTGTACAAAAGTCGTTTGCTTGGGCACCTCTGTTCCACTCGTGTTTCTACCGTGAAGCAGTTGTGTTTGCATGGCTGTGTTTCGATTTGAAGGGTGGGATATGGCAGTGAATTTACTGGGTACAGAGGAATAACACCTGAGTCCTCAGGAATGGCAACGCATAGGGGGTATCATGGACGAAACAGTATATTCTGTTATGTCCACGGTACTGCTCATGTTTATAGGCGACGGCTACCACTTTTCATGAGGTGGGCAGTTAGCTTGTTTGCCATTCTAAGTTGTATAAAAAAAAAGTGAATTTACAGGATACAAAGGAATAACACCAGAGTCCTCAGGAATGGCAACGCATAGGGGGTGTCATGGACGGAACAGTATACTCTGTTATGTCCACGCTACTGCTTATGTCTATAGGCGACGGTTACCACTTTCCATGGGGTGGGCAGTCAGCTTGTTTGACATTCTAAGTTGCATAAAAAACCTATTTTATTTTTATTTGACACGTCTGTGTGATTGACAACCCTACGAGTAAGAACTACGAAGGTAGAGTCGAGGAAGTAGTAAAAATAAGTAATGAAACTGAACGAACGCAATTACGTCGGATATGAGACTAAAAAGTAATAAATCTTTGCTTTATAATGCTAGTGGGCGTAACTTTAGGATTTCTAGTAAAAGTAATAGCCTATTATCCCTGTAGAAAGGCGTTCATCTTTAAAATCATTCTCCATCAGTGAAGTTTGAACACTTTTTTATGATTCTTAGAATGGCAAACAAGCTGACGGCCCACCTGATGGAAAGTGGTAACCGTCGCCTATAGACATAAGCAGTAGCGTGGACATAACAGAGTATACTGTTCCGTCCATGACACCCCCTATGCGTTGCCATTCCTGAGGACTCTGGTGTTATTCCTCTGTACCCAGTAAATTCACTGCCATATCCTAATCTTCAAACCGAAACACAACTGCTTCACGGTAGAAACACGAATGGAACAGAGGTGTCCATTATAGATACATATGTTGAATTAAATCAATCAAAACAATTTGTTATAACACTGTTACAGACTCTTATGGTATGTTATTATGAAAATTTTATAATAATTATTTATTTATTTATTTAAAGGATCACCAACATGAGACACAGCGAAACATTTCAATACAATACGACTGGTAGATTAGATCTAACTGTTCTTACATTTATAGGCAACCACAGCGTGCCTTGTGTTTGATAAACATTACAATGGATTTTAATTATTAAATATCATTAAACGAATAAAGATATTACAATATGAATTAAATAATAATGGAAATTGTGATTAAATTATTTTAAATTATTAATAAATATAATGTAATGGCGAAATACATCAACTTATTAATTTAGCCATGATCATAGAGTGACTATCGTTGTGAATATTAAGTTATAAATATAAGAGAATGTTAATTAAATTAATTAACAGCCATTTAAAATTAGAAAATAAATACAATATTCAAATTTATGGATTATTGTCGTTTAAATAGTCATTTATATATATATATATATATATATATATATATATATATATATATATATATATATATATATATATATATATATATATATATATATATATATATATATATATATATATTTCTTTGCAATATTCTTTATATATATTTTTTACTGCCTATAAAACGGACTATGCTCAGAGGAATTGCTCAATATGATGCCCATGACAGACAGGCAGTTCACCCCCATACCTTAAAACCTAGATAGTTGTGTATAGCGCGGTTTCAGAGATATTTCTTCCCACGAACGCTCAGGTTATGGAATGAGTTCCCTGTCGATGTTCTTCCAAGACACTACAGCATGGGGTCTACAAAAAAGTGGTAAAAAGGTTTCTTCAGGATCGGCAACGCACGTGAAATGACCCTGGTATTCCAGGCGTTCATAAGCTACGGTAACTGATTACCTAGTGAGCTGTATGCTTGTTTGCCACCTCAGTGGTATAAAAGAAAAACAAATGCCAGTCGTGCGGACAAAGACTCATGTAAAAGCTAGTTTATATAATATTAGAGTAAGGATTCTTGAAATAACAATCTCTCGGATTATGGTTTTTTCATTACAATTTCACTTGAGACAATTTTAATAACTGTCAAAAATATAATATTTAAATCACAGTTGGGCTAACAATGAAACGTCGAGACCATTAAATGTTTTAGTAGAAAAGAATTTATTTTAAGTGCTTGTCTTCTTTAATATTTACCAGCCTTTACCCGCGACTTCGTCTGTCTGACCGCAATATGTTAATTGCCCAGGATAATAATTAAACACTGTGTTCCACGACAACAAACCAACGTCACTTGTAACAAAACTTTTTTCGGTCTAAAAGCCAAGTTACTGAACCGATTCTTATAAAATTTCTATGAGACCATTCTGTAAGTATATGGGCGATGGATGAGACTTAAAGCAGGTCAGTTAGATCATTGTGACGAATTAGCCGCGTTGGTTTCCAAGAGAGACTGCGTGGCGGTCTACCTGACAGGATATACTGCTAGCAATGGAGACTAACATTTCCATCCTTAAGAATCCTTTTTTCCCAGAACTGTATATTTGGCGTAAACTCATGCCTTAAAACGAGTTATGAAAGTAGACCAAGCAAGAGAAAATAAGGTCAATGTGAGGATACAATCATTAGATACACAGTTCTCGAAACAGTATACTCTGTTATCTCTATGGTACTGCTCATGTCTATAGGCGACGGTTACCACTTTCCATCAGGTGGGCCGTCAGCTTGTTTGCCGTACTAAGTTGTATAAAAAAAAAACCCACAAATAGACTTGGCCTAAAGATAGATACAACAAAAAAGACAGCTTCGATCATCATAACCAATTATTTGCAACAGTATTCCACATATTTGACTGTTGTCAAACCAAACTTATTCGTATAATTACATACAATGCCCTGGAACACCCCAAATGTATTCAATTACCCACAAAACTACATATAACGCAAAACATATCAAACAAGTAAAACCCTCAGGCATTGAGCATTAGAACAGAACAGTACGGAACCACATAACCGCAATACCGTTCGCACTGAACACAAGGGCCGCTTGTAATCTATTTACTTGGGTTCGACACTTCGATCAATAGAACCAACTAGATGTCTCATCAGTGAACCAAATGGCCGAGCGAATAACGTCTCACTTTGTGTGCCTGTTTTTTTTTAATATTTAAAATTC